ACTCTTGTAGGGCACTCTTGTGGGACACTCTTGCGGGACACTCTTGTAGAAAACTCTTGTGGGACACTCTTGTGGGACACTCCTGTAGGACACTCTTGTGGGATACTCTTGTGGGGGACTCTTGTGGGACACTCTTGTAGGAAACTCTTGCGGGACACTCTTGTAGGACACTCTTAACTCTTGTGAGACACTCTTGTGGGACACTCTTGTGAGACACTCTTACGGGACACTCTTGTAGGACACTCTTGTGGGACACTCTTGTAGGACACTCTTAACTCTTGTGAGACACTCTTGTGGGACACTCTTGTGAGACACTCTTACGGGACACTCTTGTAGGACACTCTTGTGGGACACTCTTGTAGGACACTCTTGTGGGACACTCTTGCGGGACACTCTTGTTGCACATTCTTGTAGGACACTCTTGTGGGTCACTCTTATGGGACACTCTTGTCGGACACTCTTGTGGGACGCACTTGTGGGACACTCTTGTGGGACACTCATACGGGACACTCTTGTGGGACACTCTTGTAGGACACTCTTGTGGGACATGCGGGACACTCTTGTGGGGCACTCACACGGGACACTCTTGTAGGACACTCTTGTGGGACACTCTTGTAGGATACTCTTGTGGGACACTCCTGTAGGGCACACTCTTCGTACGAGACTTCCTCCAAAAGTCACGCTGCGAGGCTGCAAGACGAGCTTTTCGTACGAGACTTCCTCCAAAAGTCACGCGTCAAGTCTCAAAAACGAGCGTTTCGTACGAGACTTCCTCCAAAAGTCACACGTCAAGTCTCCAAAACGAGCGTTTTGTACGAGACTTCCTCAAAAACTCACATGTCAAAGTCTGCAAAACGAACGTTTCGCACGAGACTTCCTCCAAAAGTCCAGCGGAAACACCCATCGGAGCACACACATCACGCAGCCCTGCCAAGCAGTTTCGCGATTCCAGCCCCTCCAAGCGACACCCGCTCACACGCCAATCCCAATGTGACAGCGACATTCACCTCTACCACAACTCACAACCTCCCGATTCCCTGCGCCTGCCACGAATCTTTCCGCGCCCACACGTCTAACGCGCACAAAGTACTGCGCCTGCCACGAAATGTCACCTCCGTCACACCTCGCAACCTCACGACTCCCTGCGCCTGCCACGAGAATCGCACTTCCACACCTCAAAAGCCGCACAAAGTACTGCGCCTGCCACGAAAAGTGACAATATCGTCTCATGTGAGCTTCAACAAAATTTGCACCACACCACACGTTTGGAATGATTTCGACCCGTTCTGAGCACACTCCCATCCACCAAAATCGGCACTTCAGCTGAGACTTGTCACGAAAACAGAGCTTCGATGCCACACCCTGAAACGCAAATCCCAATGGCACGGCCACATCCAACACCCCAAAAACACGACTCTCCAAACGCTAATCCCAATGGAACTGCGCAGCAATCTGCAGATCTCACAAAACGCTGCGCCTGTGCAGCGAAACGCATCACGTTTCTTGCGCGGCATGTCATTTTCATGCAAATCACAATGGAATAGCGGCGCAAACTGACACGTGACACATCCATGAAAAGTCACTTGCAAAAGCTTCCCCCAATGGCAGCGCCTTAGCGACCTACTGCGGACGGTTGCGAACGGTTGCGGACGGTTGCGAACATAGAAGCAACGGGTCGCGAACAAGACTCTACCCCCAGACCCCCAGAGTTAAACGAGAACCCTTCGCTACGCATTCGGGAAAAGAAGACCCTTGCAGACCCAAAGACCGTTCACAACCTCCTCCTTACCAAAAGAACTAGAACTCTTGAGAAAAACATTCATGAAACTCAAAACACTTGCAAATTCTCAGACCGGCCACTGCTGCAGCTTCTCTAACTTCTGCAGCTTTTCACCCAAGGCAGCCAATCCCAGATCACCTGCAGGCAGGTTTTCTCCCAGAGCAATCGGATGGTCTTCGTTTTGTTTGGCAGTTTCCTAGGGCTCAGGGGATCGCTCTGAAAACGGCCAAGGGCAACGATGCAACTGGTCGAAATGTCCTTTTTCCAAGCCCAGGGTCCAAGAGCAATGGCAATTAGACCGTTCATTGAAGCAAAAAGGCCAATGTTACGAACAAGGACGCTACGAGGAGCAAAGGGCATCGCTACCAGGAGCAAGGACGCTGCTAGGGGCTCCTGGCATCGCTACTAGGAGCATTCTTGCTTCTAGTAACAAGAAGCATGTGTTGCATTGCTATCTTTGCTTTTTCCAGGCAGGCTCTTGCTACCGAAGGCTCACACGTATGCATGCGTATGCATGATCTATCGGCTCCATTCGTGCAGAGCGGCCTTCGACGTGCCCAAGGCTCTAGAATTTCACAACAGGCATGGAAAAGGCGGTGCTTTCAGACATGCAGATGCAGCAGACTGGAAAGATACAAAAGCTCCTTTGGTCCTTTGGGCACAAATCGATCTAACCACGTCTACATGTTTCTTTGAATCTCCCTTGAACTTGGCATTCTCCACCTTAAAGCTACGGCTGTAGAAAATGTCCATTCCCTCCTTCCTCAAACTCCGCCTCCGCCCCGCGGCCAAAGAGGCCGCCAGGGCACTTCCGTCCCATCCAGAGTCCGGGAGGTCCAGCAGACGGCAAAGCAGAAGCGACTTCCCTATTTGAGCAGAAGCCCTGTCGAGCCGTGCCCGAAAGCTATCGAGCTCCATGTGGCGAGCTTGCCACGGTGGCGAGCACATCTCGGTCGCCACGACGCCAAAAGGATACAGGGAGATGGGAAAAGGATGCGTCACCCCTGCGCTGGGGCAGCAGTGCCCTTTAGCACTTCTACTCCTTTTGCCAAAGACGGATCTTCAAATTGTTCAACGAAAGCTGATAGTTGAACAAGACGAAGTCCATCCGAATCAAGACTCGAGATCCCCACGCAAATTAAGCTTATTCATATAGAGACTCAGCCACCTGAGACACACCCGGCACCCATCCACCATCATCCACACATCATCCCCAGCCCTCGCCTATGACGGCCCGAGTGCTCATGATGTAGCAGTCAATCTTCAAGAAGGTCCTCAGACCGCGACGTCACGCCGCGACGTCACGCCGCCGCGGCGACGTCGAATTGATGACTTGCGGGGCACGCAGAGCGCCGAAGGGACTCCCAGCGGAGCGCCGAAGGGAAAGCCGAATCCGATTGATGGGACTTCGGTAGTCACCCCGAGAATGATGGGAACACTTTTCGTTGGGAACACTTTCATCAGAATCCATCACTCTTCGTTGAGGCTAACAGGTGGTCTAAACAGGTGTGAAAACCTCGCCTTTGAGCGGTTTGAGATGAGTGTAGCTTCAGAGCTCACCATGTAAATAAGGTGTACAAAAACCTCAACACCCAGTAGCCGGGAGTGATCATGTGTACCAGAGCCCCCAAAAGTGGCAGCTTTGGGAGACCCTCAAAAGAGCTTTGGTGGCGCCCTGACCAACTAATTCGAACCTTTTAGAACGATGGTCGAAGGAGATTTGATGGTCAAATGGTCGAAGGAGAAGCTTCAGCTCTTGGACTTTTCTGTCGCAATCGGCCGTCTTCGACCGGTCTTGAGTGAAGCAACGCGATGGCCTCTCAGCGGTCGATGGCACGCAGTAGCAGCTCAGCACGAGCTGCTTCTTGTTGTTCCTTCTCCACGTCTCGACGCCAAACCGTCTTGGACACCGATGCGTCCTCCGCTTGGGCGTCGAGCGTGCCGTCCGCGTCCTCGCCTTCCACGATGACGTCGTCGTCGTCGGGCGGAAGGGGTCCCGTGGCAGTGTGAGAAGAGCGAGAGCGTCCTGGCGCACGTCCTGGCGTACTTCCTGGCGTTCGAAGTGCCGACGTCCTGGCGAAGCCGCAGAGATTCAGAAGATTCACAAAGGCCAATTGCAGCTCCGAGTGCTCGGCCGCCAAGTGTCTCAGGTGCTTCAGCTCCCGAAGACACTTCAGGTGCTCCTTCTGATCGGCGCTCAAGCGAAAGGACACGGCGCGGAAGCGTGCTTTCAGTTCCCTGGCATATTGGTGCAACTCCGCCTCCAGGGTAGCATAACCACTTGAAGAGCGCTGTAGTGCTGACAGCAACTGTCGACGTTCCAATTTCATCTCTCCACGCACTTGCTGTATCCTTGGATTTGATTGAACTAAACATCCGTTACATAATTGCCTATACATGTATGTATATTCCCAAGAGACCTTTGAAGATGGGATTCACAAAAATAGGACCAAAATCAACATCTTAAATCAACAAAAAGCAGGATGAGCAGAGTGTCTGCTGCAAAAGGCCCTGTCGTTTCTTCTGTTCCTTCGCCTGGCGCCAACGACGTATGGCAACCGCCGGGCGACTGGTCCTGGAAGGCGCAGCCCTTGCGGTTGTCACTTTGGACAACTTAGCCTTTGGCATCTGAATCTTTTGGATCTCAGATGGCTGTGCGTCACATGGTGTTGGTGCACCAGGTTTGGACCCATCCTCAGATTTCTCGTCCTTGAAAGGAAGTGCAGCGGTCTGGTTAGTTGGGTCCACGGCTTCAGGCACAAAGCATGTCACTTGAGTCGCTTCAGTCGCTTCTGGCAAAGCTGGCAAGATGGGTCCAGGCAACTCTGCATGCCCGGGCGCCTCGATCTGCTCTGCAGACTCTCCCACCGCTTCCGCCTCCTTCGAGCTACGCACAGCCATCGGCCGCTTCGGCCGCTTCCGGAGCTCCGCGTCGTGCTGCTCCTGCAGTTCCCGCACCCGGCGCGACACGCCCATCC